TTCTTCTTTTTGAGCAGTGAGAAGAACTTGTGACTTCTATCTGAAGACCTCGATATGAATCGGCCTAGAGCGGCTATGCGCCTTGTTAATCTTTGTGCGGCATTAACATTGTCCACGGCTATGATATCTTCGATTGCCTTGATTTTATCGGGGTTGATTTCGATCCCCCGATTTGATACCATAAAGCCGAGGAATTTGCCCGAGCAGACCCCGAATGCATATTTCTCTGGGTTGAGTTTCATGTTGTATTTCCTAAGTATATCGAAGGTCTCTTGCAAATGTGTCAAATGGTCCTCTACTCGCAAGGACTTAACTAGTTTATCGTCAATATAAAACCCCATTGATTTACCTATTTGTTCTTCGAACATTCGATTTACTAAGCGTTGATAAGAGGCACCAACAATTTTTAGTCCAAACAACATTACATTATAACAATAGGTGCCGTACTTAGTGATGAACGAAGTCTTTTCCTGATCCTTCGGGTTCATTTGTATTTGATTGTATCCGAAGTAGGCTTCGAGAAAACTATGGATCTCGTGGCCGGCCGTGGCATCGATCATACGATCGATATTCGGCAGAGGAAAAGAGTCTTTAGGACATGCTTTGTTTAAATCTTTATAGTTTACGCACATTCTAAGTTTATTTCCCTTTTTAGGGACTACGACTACGTTTGCTAACCATTCGGGATATTTTACTTCTCGAATGGATCCTATTTTGAGAATTTTGGTTACCTCGTCCTTGATGAATGCATGTTTTACCTTGGACTGAGGCCTTCTCTTTTGTTTTACCGGGCGGAACTTCGGGTCCAAGCTCAGTAGATGTGTAGTGATCTCCGGCGAGATTCCTATCATATCTAGGTGGGACCAAGAAAAACAATCCATATTATTCATAAGAAATTTAATGAGTTTTTTCCTGAGTTCAGGGGTTAACCCCGTACCCAGGAATACCTTTCAATCGGGTAGATACTCGATTAGTATGACTTGCTCCAGCTCTTCGACTGTCGATTTGGTGGCGTCGGAATCCTCGGGGATTATGAAGGATCGAGGGGTCCAGTATTCATCGCCCTCATCTGTTTCCTGCTTCTCCGATTGAGTCAAGGCTGGTGGTTGTGATTGCTATTTAGCTTCCTGTTCTCCTTTGGACTCCGATCCCTTTGTTGACGAAAGTGCCGATACTAGTATTACTTCGTCGACTGCGAACATTTCTTTGGCAGCATGCTATTCCCCATACACTGTTTCTACTCTATCTGGTGTTGGGAACTTCAGCATTTGGTGAAGGGGTGAGGGGACCGCCCTCATGTTGTGAACCTAGGGTCTTTCGAGCAGTGCGTTGTATCTCATATCGCCCTCGATCACATGGAACTTTGTTTCTTGAATAGTTCTGGCTATATTTACTGGTAGGATGATTTCACATTTAGTTGTTTCACTCGCCATGTTGAAGCCATTGAGAATCTGAGCTGCGAGTACGATATGATCTTGCAGGCCGAGCTGATCCACGACCCTCGATCGAAATATTGGCCAAGCTTCCTGGATCAATTAAAACACATTTAATCTAAATTTTATTCATAAGGATAGAGATTACCAAAGCATCATTGTGGGGTTGTGATATCCCTTTTGCTTCCTCATCATTGAATGATAAAGTGCCTTCTGGCATATAGTCACGAGTTCGTTTTTCCCTGGTGATTGATACTTTAGTGTGTTTGAACACGGGCCCTTGTGGAATATCGACCCCACCAACGATCATGTGAATCACGTGCTGAGGTTCTTCCTGCTCGTTTTTCCTGTTTGCATCCCTATCTCTAAAATGGTTTTTAGCTCGGTCGCTCAAGAATTCGGGAAAGTGGCCCTCGTTGAATAGACGGGCCACCTCCTCCCTTAGTTGCCTACAATCTTCGGTTTTATGACCATGTGTACCATGATATTTGCATATTTGATTGGGGTTTCTTTGGGATGGATCGGTTTGTAGGGGTCTGGGCCATCTAGTATCTTTAATTCTCCCAATGGCTGACACAATACCTGATGCGTCGATGCTGAAGTTGTATTTCGATAATCGTGGTGCTTCTGTGGGACCGACATGTTTATCGAAGCTACTTTTGCTCATGAGCCCTCGAGAGCTCTGTCCTCGATCATTCCTTCGATTATTTCGGATGGGATTGCATCCTGGGCCGTTGTTCCTATGATCTGCGTTGTATGGTTGATACCGATCTCTATTCAACCGGGGTTCTCTATCGATATCCCTTTGAGTTCTGCCGACGGGCCTGTTTGGATAAATGGAACCAGAAGGGGTCCCCAATTGATCATCCTCGACCCTGATCTTTGACTTGTACCGATTATGTACATGGCCCAGGTTACCGCTGAATATTCAATTAAATTCTTCTTTAGCTGTCGTGATGCCACCGAACTTCGTTCGTTCAAACCCTAAGTAAAGGCTTGAACAACCCAATCGTCTGTGACCAGTGGTAGTTCCATGCGTTCCATCTGGAACCGAGATACAAATTCCCTCAGCATTTCGTTGTCTTTTTGTTTCACCTTAAAGAGGTCCGACTTCCTAGTTGCAACCTTTATTGCTCCGGCATGTGCTTTTACGAAGGAGTCTGCAAGCATGGCGAAGGAATCGATAGAATTAGGCGGCAAATTGTGGTACCATATCATAGCTCCTTTCGACAAGGTTTCTCCAAATTTCTTTAGTAAAATAGATTCAATCTCATCGTCTTCCAGGTCATTCCCTTTTATTGCGCACGTATAAGAAGTGACATGCTCATTAGGGTCGGTGGTCCCATTATACTTAGGAATTTCTGGCATTCGGAATTTTTTTGGAATGGGTTTCAAAGCCGCACTTGGAAGGAAAGGCTTCTGTATGAATTTCTTTGAATCCACACCCTTTAAAATCGGCGATGCCCCCGGTATTTGGTCAACCCATGAGTTGTATGTCTCTACTTTCTTGTCATTTGCCTCGATTTTCTTTTCTCCCGATTCAATCCGTTTAATGAGCTCCTCGAGCATTTTCATAATGGCGGGGTCAGTCCCCGATTCGTTGGCGTTCGACCTTTCCAGCACAGGCTCGGTCCTGTGGATGACTTCTGGTTCGATCCTACTCGGTGTTCGATGCTGATTTTGTAGTTGTGCTATAGCGGCTTATTGAGCCTATAACATTCCCAATATCAATCGGAGGACCGTCCTCTCCGTCCTGCGTACCTCGACCACCTGATCGAACTTCCCTGCATACGCTACCTTCGAGATCAACGCCCAAATTTGCATTTAGGGCGACATGTGAACTGACATCGATGAGATTTGCAATTGGTGCTCCCTCGAGGTTAGCCTGAGGCACCTCGATTCCTGGGGCAACTATATTGTCATTTTCCCCGTGAAATCCGATGTCGTTGTCACCATGTGTAGGTGTTACTTATGAGTTTGACATGTTTATCCTGAAAACAAAGATTCTTACGAGAACAAGTGTAAAACAGTGTGTGTTATCGAAATTAGTATTAAACAATCACTATTATCCTTAGCTCCACGGTGGGCGCCAAATTATTTACCCTTAAAATTGGATAACAATTATAATATGGTTCTAAGGACACGTGATTTCAATTAATACCAATTGATAAATATGAAGATTAATAATAGAAATGAGCTATAAAGTAAAACAAACCAGTGTTGAAACGGAATTCAACCCTCGAGCTAGGGTGCCCTCGAACTGATTGATACCAAAGCAATTAAAAATAAAGAAAGATGATGAACAAGAGAGTATAAGTTAAAGAGAGAGAGTTATATTAGCTTTTTTATGCGAGAACAACCTGTCTTACAAATGGTTAATACTCCCCATTATATAGTAGAGGAGTTCTACTTATGGTATAACTCTAATTACAGAAGAAAATCCCATGATTAGCTAATTAACCGTTACTGATTTGATCCGTTCCGAGATTTACGCCATGATCCTCGACCAGTCACCGAGATTTACGCCGTGATCCTCGACCAGTCACAGATATATCGCCTTTCTGTTATTGTGCTATCTTCGATCTTGCTCGATGTCTGTCTCGTTTGGCTTCGAATGCTACTAGCCTCGATCTCGACAGGTACCTCTGTTTTGAACTCGGTATCTAGTCCTCGTGATTTAGTCTGTTCCATTACGAGGCCGTCCTTCGATGCAATCTCCCGGTCTCGGTCAAGTAGTAAAATAAGGTGGGTTCGATTTTAACCGTATACAGCTACGAACTTCGTCGCTGATCTGTTACTAAATTGCTATTTTTTCTTTAGCTATAAAATTTGTCTGTCGCTAATTCCTATTTTTTTTTAGTGGTGCAGAGAAAGGAAAGAGTAAAAAATATGGTCTAAATATTGACCTATTGCAAATTACATAATCATCGTGAACTAGACTAACTTGTCTACTAATACATCCTATGTAGAAATCTAGAGAGAGAATTTTCGATATGGTGGAAAATTCTGTTATCTTCTGTTATCAAAATACGGTACAGTACCGTGTATTTAAACAAAATAGCTCCTAACTAACTAAATGTGACAGCTAAGCAAAAATGAGCATAAATAAAAGAAGCTTCTAGATACAAATGGACGGCTGTGATTAGAGCATGCAGCTTCCTTNTCCCCCCCTCCCCCCTCCCCCCTAAGTTGGAGGGAAAGAATCATTTTGATCACCCTTTGTCAGTGGGTTATTCAAGGGTGTTCAAAATCTATTTTTAATTAGTAATAAATAATATTTTACCTTATACGTAGTATAATTTTTCGGCGAACCCTTGAGCCAATATAATTTCGCCCCTAGAAAGAATGGACACCCAACTTGCCAAGATTGTCACGATGTAGAGGCCCAGTGAGAGATTTGTTAGAGATATCTTAAGCTCGAGTTGGGACAAACGACAAAGAAATCAGACCGGACTGAAATTGTTGACTATCAAAGTGGCAATCAAGATCAACACCCTATCGTTGTTGTTTCATAAAAAAAATAAATTAAAGGAAACCCAGTAAACGTCACCACTTAAACAATAATACTACTATAAACAACTGACATTAAAAAAACAAAAGAAGATACATTTTATCAAGAATGGCCGGGAAAATATGCATCTTAAACACTAATTTCTTGTGTACCATCAATTATTAAATATCTTGTGGAGTTTAAATAGTATATACATCGCTAGTGTAATTTATTTTTATACTATCAGGTCACTCAAATAATATTTACATGTAAATCTTCTTATAATGTGAGATATACAATCTTGAAAATAAGAAAGTTATCCGCTATAACAAGTAAAGATAATATAGGTATTATAATAGTACAAAATATCCTTATATACTGACGGTATATATAACTTAAACTTTATATGGTGTACCATCAATTATTAATGGCAAATTGGAGATTTTGCTATAGTCAATACTTCCTTGAAATTCAATGATCTCATCCCCTTGGTTCTTCTTGCAATCAATATATAGAACTGTATAAGCTACTAGTTGGAACACCTTCCACAAACAACAAACATTCACTAGAATCAACATGATAATCATGTTGTGAACAATCTGAGTACCCTGAAAAATCATTAAAGCCAATAAATTGAACAAAATATTTAAAATAAACCCTTTCATCTCATTGCCCTTAATAATTTTTCCAGCTTTTCCAAGAGCCATAATTCCATAACAACCTTCTTCAACAGCTGAAACGACTAAGGCTAGTACCCAAACTATCGATATATAGAGATAAATAATATAGGACAATATTGCAAACGCAACAACTTTTAAGAAATCATTCATGGAATAAAATAAAGGAGTTGACATGGATAAACAAAAGAAAAAATATCCAATAACAAGAATTGTGGTGTAAAACATTGTAAAAAATAGCCTTATGCATGATCTTAAAATCTTGATACCTAAATCCTTGACAGATAAGGTTTCAGAAAAGTACGAGGCAGCAAAAATCAAGATTATTGCGTTAGTGGAGAAGAATGAGATAAAAAAATTGGAAAAAAATGAATGAAAAGTCAATGGCCAAAACAAGTTTAGTATTTTGTTTAATACTAGAAAGTAGAGAAGCAATTGTAGAACCATTTGCACTAGAAATAGGAATGAGGGATTCCTTAATAAACATGTCTCTTAACAAGGAATCAGACATGGATTTGAATATCAAGAAGAAGATTGAAGTGAAAAGAAGATAAATCATGGTTATTAATCCCAGGATTTTTCCATTTTTTGGAATAGGTTGAATGGATTCCTTTAGAATTCCCACAAAACCAAACAACTTATAAAACTCCATTGCTTGATGTTCTTAAAATTTAAGGATAATTACTATGGTATAAGAGAAAGTGAGTTTGGCTTTTTATACTTCGGTTTTATAAACATTTGAAGTTGCGCTAGAATAAAGGTTTTGAAGTGGTCAATGGAAGTATAAGCTATGTTGCCTTATTTTATTCACGAGGTCTTTGTTTGCAACCGCTGGAATACAATAAATTAACCATTGGTCTTGTTCAAGTATGACAAGTGCAAATTGTGAAATTTTTGTCACGAACCAAAATTTTTCTATAAGTCGTGATAATGCCAACGTCTCCGCCAGGCAAGCAAACGGTGAACTAGCCGTGTGTTTATTTCTTTTAACAATTCCGAAATAGCTGATTTTTATTTATTAAGTAAGAGGTGAAATATTTTAATTAAATGAAGCATAAACAAATATAAGAATGAGTATGGTGAAATAAATACTCAAAAACCATCGAAAGTCTACTAGCACATTTTTCTAAGACCTGGTGTCACAAGTATATGAGCTACTAGTAGAATATACAAAATAATAATTGCTGTCCGAAATAGGGTAGACAGACAATAAAGGCAAAAGGGAGACTCCGAGTGCTGCAGAACGGGCTCGGGAAGCAGCTCACCACTTGTAACGACCCAGCCGGTCTTTCGAGAGTTATAGTCCCGTTTCCTCCATTTCTGCTTCTTTTATGCTTTACAGCTATATTATGTCTTACCGGGTTGGTTGGTTCGGGTCCGAAGTGGTTTTGGAGTGAATTGAGACACTTAGTCTCTTAATTGGAAGCTTAAGTTGAAAAAGTCGACCGGATGTCGACTTGTGAAAAACGTACTCGAATTTGAATTTTTATGGTTCCGTTAGCTCTGTTAGGTGATTTTGGACTTAGGAGCGCGTCCGAAATGTGATTTGGAGGTCCGTAGTAGAATTAGGCTTGAATTGGCAAAAGTTGGAATTTGGCGATTTTGGCCGGCAGTGAAAATTTTGATATCGGGGACGGATCAGATTTTCGGAAGTTGAAATAGGTTCGTGGTGTCATTTTTGACTTGTGTGTAAAATTTAAAGTCAATCGGACGTGGTTTGGTAGGTTTCGGCATCGTTTGTGGAATTTGAAAGTTTAGAAGTTCTTTAGGCTTGAATCCGGGTGTAATTGGTGTTTTGATGTTGTCTTGAGTGATTCGAAGGTTCGACTAAGTTCGCATGGGGTTATATGACTTGTTGGTATGATTGGTTGAGGTCCCGGAGGCCTCGAGGTAATTTCGGGTGGTTAACGGCTTGATGGGAGTTGAGGAACTTGCAGCTGAAGCTGCTGCTACTGGTGTAACCGCACCTACGGAGTGGGAACCGTAGGTGCGAGCCCGCAGAAGCGAAGGAGGAGCCACAGATGCGGCTAAGGAGGACCTGGGCAGAGGACACATGTGCGATGGAGTTCCCACACCTGCGATGGTCGCAGAAGTGAATTTAGGGGCGCAGGTACGAGTTTGGACCGCAGGTGCGATGTAGTTCCCGCACCCGCGAAGAGCGCAGATGCGGTCACTTGATCGCAGGAGCGGAGGTAGTGTTTAGGGATTTTTCCGCAGAAGCGGGACTTTGCCCGCAGATGCGGCTTCACAGATGTAGAAATGGAGCTGCAGGTGCGAGAAGTCTGGGAAGAACCTATAAATAGAGCGCTTCGAGATTTTCACCATTTTCATCATTTTTGAGCTCGGATTTTGGGGATTTTGAGAGAGATTTCGGAGTAATCACTGAGGTAAGTTCCTTGTGCCTATTTCTCTTCAATAATGGTGTTTCTCCACTGATTGTACACCTAGTTGGTGAGTGTTTGAGGTGAGATTTGGGAGATTAGGGCTTGGGAATTGGAGAGTGAATTTTGGGGTTTTGGAGGGGCAATTGAGGTCGGATTTTGATAAATTTGGTATGGTTAGACTCGTGAGTGAATGGGCTTTCGGGTTTTGTGACTTTCGTCAGGTTTCGAGACGTGGGCCCAGGGGGCCGGATTGAACCGATTTCGGATTGATTTTGGACTATATTTTAGTAGTTTTCTTATGAAATTGATTCTTTTAGCCAATATTGATTATCTCGTACTGTTTGTGGCTAGATTCGGGACATTTGGAGGCCGATTCGAGAGGCAAAGGGCATTTCTGAGTAGGATTTCTGCGTGGTTGAGGTAAGTAACTGTCTTAAATCTAGTTTTGAGGGTATGAAACCCCGATAATTGGTATGATGTGAATATTTAGAGGTGATGCACATACTAGGTGACGGGCGTGTGAGCATGCACCATGAGGGATTGTGACTTGGTCCGTTCCGGGAGACTGTAAAGTCGAATAACCATTGTTATTACTTGTTTTTTTTCTTTGTCCTTGAGCAATTGACTGCCTTTCATGTTAGAAACCATGCTTAGGCCATATGATATCACGGTTGGGACCCGCAGCAATCGAATACTTGTTGAATTGACTGATNCTATTGAGAGTGTGTATTGAGGGCTGAGAGCCGAGAGTATGAGCTGTTGAGATGAGTTGAGTGAGTGATGCCTTGAGAGGCTATACTTGCTTTTATTTATTGTTGCACTTAGTTGTTATATTGTTGTGAAATTTCTGGAAGATTCATATCTGTTTTACTTGAGCTCGAACTGATTTGACTTACACCATCGGATTTGAAAGCATGTTCACTCTTTACTGAAAACTTTTGAAATGAACTATATTTTTATAGCTCGTCACTGCTTCTCAGTTCCTTATTTAATTCTGTTACTTGATGAGTTGGTTGTACTTATGCTATACCCTGCACTTTCATGTGCAGATCCAGGTGTGTACGGTTCTGGCGGTCGCTGCATTCGTGCGCGAGCTGATTATCGGAGACTTATGAGGTAGCTGTCGGCATCCGCAGTCTTTGTTTCTCCTTTCGTATTATCTTTTCTCTCTTGTATTGGCATTTGGCACAGACTGTAGTAGACTCTGTTTCTAGATTTATTGTCAGATGCTCATGACTCAGTGACACCCCGATGTCGGGCTATTTTTTCACACTTATGTTTTGTTTGGGTTTTACCCCCGTTTTTATGAAAAACTCCAGTTATTTTAAATGTATTAATTCATTTCTGTTAAATTTTGGCAGTGTTTTGGAAAGGTCGGCCTGCCTAGTATCACGATAGGCGCCATCACGACGGGTTAAGTTTTGGGTCGTGACACCACTAAATCTCGAAGTATCAGGGGTGCATGATAGGATGACTTCTAAATGCACTTGCTTCAGATCCTGCACAATTAGTGCAAAAGTGTAATGTGAGTACATAAATAATATGTACCCAGTAAGTATCCGGTCTTATCTCGAAGAAGTAGTGACGAGGGTTCGACATCGACACTTACTATAGGCCAATAATAAAATACAGAATTCTAAATAGATATGAGACATGGAAATAGTAAGAATAACACAACGTCAAACAATGAGTAAATGACCCATTAACTGAAAATAAATTCCATAATCTCTAGCCAACTTCTATTAACCCCAAATCAATTTCTGTCATTAAATAAATTATAAGCTCTCGAACCATAAAGTAATATCGAGTGTAATCATGCTCCGAGTATTATCATGCATGATTTATGCCGCGGTCATATGGCCCGATCCAAAAATATACCGTGTGCACTATCGATGGTCGAACGTCATGAACCATAGATGCATCTATTACACTGTCGAGGCGAATGACCCGCTCACATGGAAATAGAGAAGTTTACCTCGCTCGCGGAAGTACTTGCGACGTGAGAGGACATGAATTTCGTAGAGATATTAAATACTCATAAATTCTTCCCCAAAATAAGAATTTTAAATTGGAAGTTTTCAAATTTAAAATCTTTAGTCTCAGCCCTACTCAAGATAATTAATGTACATAACAAATATGATAGTACAATTAAGGCATGATGTAAATCTAAGACAACCTAGATATCTCATGAAATATAGCTACGCACAGACTCTCGTCACCAAGTGCGTATGTAGCTCCCAATACAAATTACTCACAACAAAATACACCTAAGGGGATGAGTTCCCTTTTACAAGGTTAGTCAAGAGATTTACCTCGTTATCAAGCTCACTTCCGGCCCACAAATTCGTTTTAAAGCCTCAACTCAGTGCCGAACAATCCGAAACTAGTCAAATGTTATATAAATTAGTCAACATATGGTCAAAAGTTTATAATTTAACTATTAGAGTAATTACCCAACCCAAATTGGAAGATTCCTAAATTTTAACCCCCGGGCCCACGTGACCGGATTCCGAAATTATTTGAAGATAATTGTTACCCATAACCTCACAACTCAAATATATAATTTTCACCCAATTCCATAATAACTTTCGTGGTTAAATCCCAATTTTATCAAAACCTAGATTTTTCAACTAAACCCATAATTTTCACAATTTTACAAGTTACAATCTACCCATAGTCTATGTATTTAACTTAAATTGGGTAGGAATTACTTACTTTCAATAGCTAGGTGGAAATCCCTCTCTAAGAAGCTGCAAATATCACCTAAGAAGTAAAATAAATGAACCAAAATGGCCTAAGTCCGTATTAAATGGACCTTACTGCCTCCCAGCGACTTCCGTTTTTGCGGAGAATTGGCAGCATCTGCGGCGCCGCACCTGCGGAAAATCTATCGCAGGTGCGGTCCTGGCCCAGGCTGGCTAACTCCGCTTCTGCGGGCGGTCCCCCGCTTCTGTGGAAAGTGGAGCACATCTGCGGTCCAGGCCTGGACAACCTCTTCTTGCACCTGTGGCCTTTTCATCTCATAAGCGATGCCGCTTCTGCGAAAGTTACTCCGCTTCTGTGGGTCACTGGCCACTCGCCCAAAACCGCTTCTGCGGCCACGAGCTTGCACCTGCGGCCAAAATCTCGAAGGTGCGGGCACAGCAGAACTGGTGCACCAGTAGCTCCTTTCAAGCCCAAGCTCGATCCGTGCATCGTCCGAGTAGCACCCGGGGCCCCCGAGGCCTCGTCTAAACATAACAACTGAGCTATTTTGCGAATCAACTTATGAACTTCAAGTTCTTCCAACTTGCTCCGAACGTGCCGAATCATACTTAAACTACTC